AACACGAAGCCAACGTAACGGCAAAGACAACGCTAAAATGAAATATTGACGATTGGTTGCTAGTGGAACATTTACGACAGCATCAATCTTAAATAACCTTAAACTATAAGAATAAATGGTCACATCAAAGACAAAGATCAGTCCCAAAGTATAAAATCTGCTCTGTGAACTTACGAGGAAGTGGAGAAATGTGTACATGAGATCTCTTTTTAGTGACTTCAACGTTATATGGAAGCCCTCTTTCCAATAATATTCGCTTATCGCACAGTATAACACAAACTGATGTAGTAGTTCAAATGCAATGATTAGCCATCTCTTGAATTACGTTTCGGAAACTGTGTTGGAAATTTAAATGCTGTCCATTACATATAGATTACCGTTTTGCATCTTTGTATAAACCATTTTAATCGCATGTAAGGAATCATTTCTCAGCCCAGAGACATAGTCCAAATTAAGATTTAACATTGACGTCTTAGTGATTTTATAGAGATAGATCCTGAATTATAGATGTTAGAAGGAATTATCTGCACCTTCTCAAAGTTGTAGACAAGATATGTTGTTTACGTCCAACACGCATAAGATTACATAACTCAAAATGATTCGAGCAAAACCAATCATTTGTTAAAAGGAAGAATGGTAAATAGAAATTGGTCCTTTTGAGTGACATAATCGTGTATCGTCATCGATCCGTGTCGTTGAACAATGAAAAAATTTGCTGTGAAATTAGTGAAGACAAAATAGCAATTTGTGAGAAAACTGCGGGTCTACTGAGTGCATGGCAACTTTTCGGGTTTGAACTCAGTGTGTTCGAAAGTGTTAGTTACCGTAAAAATATTTCAGATCTAAGACATGCTTAATGAAAATCGTTTTCTAGGCACTTTTCAAGGTCACAACACACGGACTATCACATTCCAACACTGCCCAACATTTCCTGTGGAATATATGCTGAAGTTGTTTCTGAGGATGCATATATATTATACAATCAAGTTTGGGAACAGGAATTTTCCATCAAAAAAGGAAAGCAGAAAATACATCAAAGTAACGTACTGTTTAATAAACGAGCAGGAGAGTTTTATTAGGTTTAAAGCCACGAGCGCGCAGCGCGAGTGGCTTTAGACCAGGGCGCTTATATAATGGGCGGTGAAACGGATATAGGCGCGCTGATCGATGTGTGATGCACAAGACTGGAAACAAGTTAGTTAGGAAAATAAACATGGCGACTGCAAATTCGATCATTGTCTTCTAGACGAAGAAGTTGAAAGCGAGCTTACACTTTTCGACCCACATTCTAATCGTGTTGAATATTGCAATATCTCTTCAAATATTTATACAGCAAGGAGTTTGACATCATTTCTCCAAATGCTTTTAGAAGTGTACAAGCCGCCTTCAAACGAGTATTATATTTTAACTTTTTTGGAAGCAGCATTCAATGAGAGTAAGTCAGCCCTCGTAGAAATACAAAAAACATTTTGTGTTTGTTTGAAGTTTGTTTCAGCCAGGCAGAAACAGAAAACACTCTCAGAAATAAGCAAAAATAGCATTTGCTGAAAAAAGACGTTCTAGTTTTCACCACTGTGCAATTAAATGGTCATGGTAGAGATTATTTACTAATACAGCAAGTCAGAATAGTGAATATAATCAAGCTTCAGAACAATTGCTGCAGAAAATTCTTCAGTAGTTTTGGTCTTCAAGTAGTAATGGTTGTTGTTGAAAGTCTTGAAGAGGAAAGTACTAAAGATCCTGCTACTTGTGATGCGAGTCATTTCGACAACATCAAAGATCATGCTGGTTGGGTAGTTAGACGAGCTGGCGAGACATTAATGAAGGGATATAATAAAATACCAACAAAGGAAAGTGTGGCAGAGTCGACTCTTGTCTATGGAGATAAAGCTGGGGCATTGGAAATAATATCTGCCTTGGGGAAAGATGTTAAACAAGCAGATGAAAAATTTTAATTTGTTGTTCATGAACATGTTGTTCCCTTTTAAAATAGCTTTTTGTTTATGCTACAATTTATGAAATAAACAACCTAGAAAACAAAGCAATCTGCGAGGCGGAGCGATCTCTAGTCTTTGTCAACTTCCCAAGGTGGATTTACAGTGAGATTCACAGTGCCGATCGAACAAGTCAAAAAGATGTTGTCAAAGCTGGGTCTGTGGTACATTGAGGTATTTTGAGACGTTTATGTTACGTGGGAAAACATTTGAGCTGGCTGTGGGTTATTAAAACCAATTTGTAAGCTGGCATTTGAGGATACGAGCGATCTGTTGAGAATGTCGCTGCTTTGTTGAAGAGCTGTGTTGTGGATGGACGCGAGTTATAACTCTTCAGCGACTGTTCATTTCGGTGACTTGAAACGGCCATAATGTGGCGGTTTTCAAGACTTGCATCGGACCAAAGAGTAATCGCCATGGCTCTCACACAATGGTTTGTGTAGATGCTCGACAGTTTGGCTTCCTCGCAAATTTCTCTCATCATAACACCCAGCTTATTTACACCGAATGGCTGATTTTCGTACCAAACACTGTCCCTTGGGGACCACTTTCACTTCGGAAACTGGAAGAATGCTGAACAGTGTGGATTTAACTTGAATATATAAAGCTCCAAGGCATTGTAGCCGTCGCTGGGGTCGTCTGTAGCACGGTACATCCTGGGGCCGGTTGTATAAAACTTTTACTCACATTTTAATAACTATTTGGATTTATGAAATAAATATATTAAGAACGAACTGAGTTGTTGTACTTGTTATCAGAATAGGGGGCCCCAGGGACAGCTTGGCAAATGCTAATGAAAGCATTTGCATAACCTACCTTATATAATTTGTTTTCGCCAGTAGTTCATTCTCAGACGTGACATTTAGTCGTTCCCATCCCCCCTCCCCCACGGGGTGCTTAGTCGTTCCCATCCCCTCCCCCTCACCCACGCCCATCCGTAGCCTTCCCGGAGGAAGCCCGCAGCCAGCCCCGTCGCTTGGCTCGCTACCCGTCGATTACTCAATCTCAGTTAAGTACCTTTAATTTCCCTGTTCATGATCTGGCACCTCGCGCCAGTCTCGCTGGGTTAACAACCCTGGTATCTCACAATCTTTCGTCTGTCGCATCGTCCTTCCCGTCCTGTGTTCGCGGCAATCAGCGTCAACAATCGGCCCAAACTCGTGTGTGTGTCATAATTCGTTCGCTATACAGTGTCTCTTTCGGAGCGGGTCTTGGTGCCCTTGCTCATCTCCACTTCCTTAGGAAGTGTAATTGTGGTACTATAAGGGAGAGGTGTTGTTCTCGGCACTCGAGAAAAGCTAGGTTAAATGTAAGTACGTTACTAAGTCGTCGATACCTAATTTGTGAACGTGGCCATGACTAAACGCAAACTCTCGACCCACGGTCATGGCTTCGACCGAACTTGCTCTTCAGTGGTACTACAAACCGCCAAGTCACTTATCAGATATTTGCCAGTTACGATCGAAGCGAGCTTGTTAATTTGTAGTTAAATAGTGATTAACTCTCAAATAAGCGCGTCTGATTGGATGACGTTTCCACTAACTATAGTTAACTTTAATCACTTTTTTATACAACCGGCCCCTGCCGTCTTTTTCGAAACTTTCCGTGTCGTCAAATCCACCGGGATGATTTTTTTGACAACTCGTCGTGGGTCATAGTCGCATACTGACGGGAATTTTCATCAACCGCAAAGGTAAAGCTGGAAGGTGTTGGGTTTCGTTAGCCTTCTCTACCTCGTCGACATCAATTTAAGGTTGAGGAGAACCAAAAATGTTCAAGAGACCGGGGGAAGTCAAGGCGGAGATTACTGGATGAACTCTCAGCTTTTGAAGGTCTGGCGTCGTTATAGCAGGTTTGTGCTTTGTATTGTGTTTCCCGAGTTGCTTTAAATTTTTAATTTTCGCATCGAGTATCATGTTGGAGTTCATGAAGGCAGGATTTTTAGAAAATTTGATTCCTCTATTGGGAGGGGTAGTTTAAAAGCCACTCAATGCCCCTTCTCAAGCCGAGTAGGGTTGACTTTCCGTAGTTTTCGTCGGTCTTGTTTCTCACTTCTGCACAGAAAACTCTCAGGTTTTGATCAAGCTCTTCCTCGCTTTGTTCATGACGCTTATTATTTATGTTTCTTTGCAGGGTCCACTCTGAAAGACAGCCATAACATATAAAAACCTGATCACTTGGAGAGGTGTAAACTTAAAATTAAAGTTCAAGTGAACTAACCTTTGTGAACAAAGACAGCGAAAAGCAGTCCTGTATTTCGTCTTTTTGGAGTGTGCTGCTTCTAATAATTCGTCTAAATCGCTTGTTTCTAAATTTGCATACCTTCTGAGGTTTTCTCCGTCGCCTCTAGTGCCAAAAGGTTGAACATTGGCCATTTTAAAAACCTCTTATTAAATTTTGGCAATACGCTTTTGAATTTAAAGAGCGGTGGGAAATTTCCCGTGTTGACATTGAGTTATGTCAACATAGCTCTTAGCCAATCAGCGTCCAGAATTTACAATTGCTGTATTATAAATATTTTTATAGAATATATTAAATTAGTTACTCTGTTATTTTACGCTGTCTAACTGGCAGCCAGCATGAAGCATGTTTGCAATAACCAAATAATTTCAAAAGCAATTGGTAGAATATTAACAAGATTATGGCCTTCTGCCCATTGCATGAAGGGCGAAAGTCGCTAGCTATTTGCTAAATACAGTACTTCTTTTTTGTACAGTAGAAAATTGCTTGCAATGCATCTTTGTTACGTTTTCATGAAAATCATTGATACTGCGGTTAAAATCTTTTAGTGATAAAATTCTCAACAATTGACCATTTGCGTAATAGACAAAATTTTGATCTAAACAAGTCTGGACAAAAATTTTATAACAGCTAGAAAGAGCATCACAAAATTAGTAATATTCCAAAGTGTCGTTGCGAAATGTTGTAAAATGCGGATAATATAGCCTTGCGAAGTTTGCAATTTTCAGTCATTTTAAATTACAAACGGAAAGTTGATAGCCTCAAAGCGTATCGGGCTGTCAATTTCCCGTTTGTAATCTAAAATGACTGAAAATTGCAAACTTCGCAAGGCTATATTATCTGCATTTTACAACATTTTGCAACTTTTAGTCTATTACGCAAAATTTATTATATATCAAAATTTAGTCTATTACGCAAATGGTCAATTTATTTAGGGGCATTTTCCATGAGAGCTAGGTATACTGTCGGATCAGACTTTGTTTGTCGCCTTGGAAGATGCTGCTTATGAGTCAATCTATAGTTTTCAACTTGCAAACCTTTGTAAAATTCCAGTCCTTTTTATCTGCAGCGCTCTAACCAACTGAGCTATAGAGAACAGTTGTTGAGCTCTTACCACAAGTTCATGTAATACATATACTACGGTAATGCCATGTTTTAGGTTGTTGGTAAATATCGAGATTTTTTTTAATCTCACTGGATTCAATAACAGTTGATAGGTTGTTGGAAATTTACATACATATGTTAGACCTAACCAGGGACAGCTACGAAAAATGCAACTACAATACAGATCTCTGCATGGCAGAAATCAAACCGGTGGTCCTGCGATTCCGGCATATACTGGTTTTTCTAACACGACGAGAGGTTTTCTAGTTAGTATCGCTGGATTGAGGACAAGGAAGAATATATTCTAATGTTGAGGAGGCAATTGGTCCGTTTCTGAAAACAATAAACCTGATTGAAGAGAATGCCGATGAACGTGTTTGGTCTCAAGCTGTCTGGAGGGATAGGAGAAGCATAATAACAGTATTTTATGTTTATCTACTTGTGTGTACCGGAATCGCATGTTCGATCCTGCCTATAGTTGTATTTTTCGCAGCTGTTCCTGCATGTTTAGGCCGCCTAATAAATGTATATAAATTTCCACTAGATGATTTCCATCTGCAAGACCCTTCAAACAAAACAAAACTGCCTATTATGGAAAAACTTGACTTTCAAATAACGATTAGTATAAATTGTGCATATACCAAATGAGCTTTCGCGCGTTTGATTGACTAGTTGCATGAGCAGTAAATTTGAGGCAATATTTACCAGAAGATTAGACCCCGATCTGACGGCGCGAAGCGCCGTGCGAGGGCACTAATTCTGCCCGGCTATTTACACACGGGAAAAGGAAAGCATTAGCGAAGTCTAAAGTTCATCAATGATTGCGGACGTGGATCACCAACAAAGTTTCGGTGGGTGGTCATCCTCACTGATCTCATAATATAGCGGACTGTCATGACTAGCCAACACTGATTGGTTGAATTTAAAATTTGCATTATAACGACTGCATGACGACAGCGAAATAGCAAACATTTCTTGATTTGATGATTTCTTGCAAATATACTTCATTTTTGCAAAATTTTGTAAATTTCAAAAGCTTTTTGATAACATAAAGGCGAATGAAACGCTGAATGAAACTTGAAAAGAAAAGTGTATTAAATTAATATTTCGAGCAATAGTTATTGTTTGTTTTATGCAATTCTCAAAAAATATGTATTGCATCACTGAAGGGCATTCTTGCCTCAAATTTTCAAGCTCACAGTCAGGTTGGTGAAAATAGGCAACATTGAGGTACAGAAATTCCACGAAGTCTACAAGGCAGTTTTGAATTGGGAATTGCATTAGCTACAAAAAGGCTTAGAATATAAACCTAAATAATCAAAATACAGACATTTGAATTCTTAACCTTGACATAAGAGCATTAAATTTGTGAATTATAGTACAACTCTACCTCGGATGTTTTGAACGAAAACAGGATGTAGTGCCAGGATGAAGGAAATTGGACACATATTTTTTAATTCCTTTATCCGATACGAAGTTGTCATCTGCATTTATCTGTTGAAGGCTTGTAGGACATGGAAGCAACTCTTCTGCAGGGAGAAATAAAATTAATATTACTATACACTGCACATTTTATTAGTTAATTATTTCCCTCCTTAAAGTGCCTATGACACGAA